TTATTATTATTATTTTTATTATTATTATTGTTGTTGTTGTTGTTGTTAAGAGGTTTCTGAAATGTTATCACTAATAATTTTGGCAATAGCAATGTTGATGGCAACATTGTTAACGTACCCACCAAGGTCTTTCAGATGAGTAAACCTATGCAGTTGCCATCTTACAATCTCACTTCATCTGTCGGGTGTGAGGAGGCTGGCACTTTAAGATATTACTTTTTCAGATTTTATCAATGTCCTTAGTTATACTACTTGTCATCCTCTGCCTTTATCCCAAGCACGTGTAACTTTTTAAGTCATGGCACATTCATTTTTTATCAAGGGACAGCTACAGGCAACGTCTTTTTGTCCACAGGTGAAACCAGTAACAACCCATCCAAACCTGTCCACGCATACATTCCAGGAAGGTCCAACGAAAAAAAACCCTTTCATGACCCGATTTCGAAAGTACAGAAGAGTGCTATAATTTTTTGTTTCCAAAAAACCGAATACCAAAGGATGTCACGAGAAAGAAGCGAAAACAGTAATAACTATCAGAAAGAACGTGAAAGAGAAGAAAAACATTCAACTTTCCATTCGAACAGGAACACAATTGCAATTTGTCTTTGATTAACTGTGTGCTGACTTGACATCAATAAAAGAATTCTGGCGTGAAAAAAACGTATTTTATTTAGTTTTTCTTTATCTGTTATGAATGTGGTAAAGGCAGACGACTGAGAAACGCCAAGGTCTGTATCACGACAGAGTAGACATCTTAAGTCACACTTCCTCAAACAATTTCACCATGATGATGATGATGATGATGATGAGGATGATGATGATGATGATGATGATGATGATGATGATGATGATGATGATGATGATGATGATGATGATGAGGATGAGCCTTCCTCATCTCATACTGGAGAATAGGCCACCAACAAGAGCTTTTCACGTACTTCTGTCCTGGGCTATAGTCTCCTCCTCTGTCCAATTGTATGTAATCCCCATTAAGGCCTTCCTTTCTTTTTGTTTTAGGATTTAGTGAGATTTTTCAGGTTTTCTCACCGTACTTTGTGTCCAGTCCATTTTACATTTTATAAAAGTGATTTTTATCCTATTTTTGTTGATTTATTTTCTCCCATTGCTGTTCATTTCTTATGTTACCGGGCCAATACATTTTTAGAAGTATAAAAAGGTTTGAGTCCCTTGCCGCTTCAAAACCATGGATTTTAAGATGTAGGCATTTTCGGCTTCTTCAGCCTCTCTTACAACTATTTCACCAGATAAGAACACCCTGCTTAAAGCCTTATTTTTCTCACATACAGGGCATGCCAGTCACAACTATATCCTCATAAAGTCAATCTTTTTCTTTTCTATATCGCCCGTTTTCTCAAAAACGTGGTTTTTCTATTTACTTTTTTTAAAAGCTCAACTATTTTTCATCCACCTTTCATGACATGTTCACAGAAGGAGGACCTTAAAACAGCTGTTGATAAATGTCCTTAGGACTTTTTAGATGTACGTTTTACATGTTTCCCTATTTCTATTCCATAGATTAGAGCAATTTTAGAACTGGCCTTGTAAATCTTGTCGTGCTTTTTTGTTCCGATAATAGTTCCACACGTGTCTTACTTGTATGTATTTTGTCTGTTCTTGTCTTTACATCGGCATCTGTTCCTCCAGCCTAACCCAGTCTTGTCTTTGCATCTGTACTGTACCACCAACTTTGTCTATAATGAGACTTAAGATATTGAAGAAATCAATATCCTCTCGTGGTGTTTTGTCAATAATTGTTTTCTGATGGTTGATGGTGGTATTTATCCTTGGTCTTCTCTTGGTCTTCTCTGGTTGTCTTCAAAGGCCTGTCGTCTGTGAGATATTTGTGGCCTGTTATCAGTGAGATACTTTCCTTTATGATTGTTTATAATTTGAGGAATTAAGAATAAAGTACAATTCTAGAAAGTAGTCTTGTTAAGCAATCCAAAACGCCGGTCTAGGTTTTAGTAAATGACCCGTCTTTCGTGACTATGTCCTGGTTCAACAAATTTCCATTTTGTTTCGTTTTATATTTGATTCCGTATTTTGTTGAAAGAGAAGTTGGTACTTGAAATTTTGTAATGAACGTGTTGCAGACACATTTAAATGACTTACTATGTATGAACGAACCAAAAGAATCTGAGCTTAACCAATAAATTCTACTCTGTCTCAAATCTTACATCAGTGCTCATAACAATGACACGAACGCGTGCAGATTAAAATCGTACTAATGTTTTATTGTGGTACAATTAAGTCTTATACTTTTTTTCTCCACGTCTTTTGTCAGTTCAGTAGGTTCTGAAGTAGGTTCATTGATCAACGCAATGACAGGACGCCTGCAGATTATTGTTCCTCATTTTATTGATCTCTTGTTCGACCGCTATTTAGCTATTGAAAATAAAGAGGATCAGAAAAATTGAAACAATTGTAATCCCAGCACAAAATTGACTACAGCCACGAGCAGCAATAATACTAGCAAACACTCTTTATAACATATTTTTCTGTTGTCGTGTTCTGGGTTTCGGTTTTTGGTACGCGCTTTATCTAACGAACTAAAATCGCACAAAAAAGTTAAGGTACAAAAATTCAACGAAAGATAACTGAAGAACAATTTTACCGAATTTATTCATTTTTTCAAAAAAGATTTTTTCGACTCCCTAGATTAATTGTGTACAATTTCAGATTTCAACAACAACGAGAAGTTCATGTAAAATGAGTTTAAGTCATTCTGTTCCGATTTAAACAGTCTGAACAGCTATAGTTCTTCTTGAACAATGTCAATAGTGGTTTAGCCACTGCGTTAGGCGAAACACTGGGCACAGCGTCGACGTATTGACAGGACATGCCTTCGGAGAACTTGTTGCGGTGGGTTTTGTCACTTCTAAACGAGGCAGCCCAAGAGTTGTTTGAGGTTTTTTGCTGGAGGGTGGTTGTCTCTTATCCACCGATCAATGTGATCCCAAATGTTCTCTGTTAGGTTCAAATCCGGACTACAAGCTGGTCAGTCTATGTGGGTGACAGTTCGCTGTTGCAGGAAATTCCCCCATGATGCGGGCACGATATAAAGTGGCGATGTCGTCCTGCCGTAGGCCCACGTTGTCGTCCTGGGGTCCAATCTGCTCCAGGAGAGGAACAGCAAGGGGACGTAGGATTTCCTCCCTGTACCTTGCCGCGGTCAAATTGCCCTGTATATGGTACAAGGGGTCCCTTGGTAAGCTGGAAAGCTTTCCCACACGAGAACGGAACCTCCACCGTTGTTGGATGCATTCAGGGAGGAACAGCTCTCCTCAGCGCCTTCAGACATAGGCTCACCTGTCTGTGTCAGGCAGGTTGAATCTGGATTTGTCTGAGAAGACTACCTGGTCCCACTGACATTGTGTCCACTGTGAATGGCGAGCAGACCACTCTCGGCAAGCTGCTTTGTGGGGCGGCGTGTGCCTTGGGCGCCTTGTTGGGACACGAGAAGCGAACCTGGCTCTACGGACACGGTTCCTCACCGTCTCCTTGCTATCGTTGACATTGGCTGTCACCCGTAGTTGGTCCCTGATGCCGTCTGCAGTGGTAGTTCGTGACATAACGGCCTGACTGACGATAAACCGGTCGATGCTGTCGTTGGTCAAACGGGGCGGCCCTGGATGATGCATGTCCTGGACCTTTCCGGTCGCTTGCCATCGTTCTTGCAGCCTCTATATGACTGATGGTGCCACGCCAAGTCAATGTGAAACAACTGGGAACGTGGAGCCATCTTGGAGCCAGGTAAGGGTTCGTCCTCTGTCGACGTCAGGCAGCCAGCGTTATTGGACCATCGAGTTGTAATGAAACATAGCTGAAAATCGCTGGCTTATGAAGGGTTGTAAGTGAGCAATATTCACAGCTAAGACATATGTTTAGCACGTGCCAAGCTTAGTTTTAGTTAACAGTCCTTATGCCAATGTTGCTGAAGCGGAGAAATTAAGCCCATTTTTCATGCTTTTTGGCTGTGTTTCTGAATGCCCTGCGCCGTCGCTGTGAAGCTGGTGCGGGCAAATTTTCTGTACAGGCAAACTGTGTCTTGTCGTCAGTGCTTGTGCCAAGTTTGGTTGACTGTATCTTAACGGGTTTGTGAAGTTTAAATTTGACAGGTGAAAACACTAGTTGTTCCTTGACTTTTTTAGGCGAGTTTAGTTTTCTGTTTTGACAGGTTTATCCACAGGACAAACCGCGACTTACAGATGAGAGATATCTCTAACCTACAGGCTGCTAATACGACCTTGACTATAGCGCAAGAACCAACTTAAAGCAAGTACGTATATCCCCCGCAAAATCCTGTTTACCTATGCAATTGTGATCATGTTCGTTTTCCATTTTTAACAATACTTGTAATTTAACACGAACTGTTTTCTGGATTTATGAAAGGATACGTGGGGCATTACTGTGAATATTGAAATTTAGCTGAATATTTCCGGTTAATACATCGAAATGCTCAGTAGTGGTTTTGGCTATCGTTAGATCGGATAAGCGTAGTAGATCTCCGGTACAAGGAGGCCACTAGGTTGTTGGTAAAACGTAGTGGGATCTGCCTTCATATCTCCTGGATGGCCACATCCAGTTCCTTTGTGGTTCTCGGCCTTGGTTGAATCCCCTCTGTGCGTCGTTTTATTTCGTCCTAAGATGCTTAATTGGGTTTTAATTTTTGCTAAGGGAAGGGTGAGGCTGCAGAGTGATGCCACGATGTTGGATGAAATCCTGTGTAACACGCAAAGTGTGCGCACAAGCATTATATGACTGGAACCGGAAGTTAAATTTTTGACTGTGTAGAGGGGCCTAAGAACTTCTGTTATGCAACAAGCAGCATGGATACATTGACATCGACCTTGGCCTTGATTTTGAATGATCATTGGTCTTATATTTTGGTACCACATGATTCCACCCCAGATCATGACGCAATATCCTTCCCAGCGATTCCTTTCTATGAAACAGTTGTCACGATAACGTTTGCCTTCCTCTTGATAAACTCTGAGGTCCCTGTTTATTGTATCTATGGAGAACAACATTCGTCCGAAATTGAGAACCAAAGACCAGTCTCTCAGACGGCTGTTGACATAGTGCAGGGTCCACTTGAAACGCTCTTGGCGATAGTGTGCGGTCAAGACTGGACCATGGTAAGGTCGAGGCCATCTAAGCCCTACCTGACGCAATCGTCGTTTTACTGTGTGTCGACTTATGTCTCTTCCGTGGGTGCCCCTTGTGAAATCTGATGTTCTTGTAGCTGTCTGAAGTCGATTTGAACGATACTTCCGGACAATGTATTTGTATGCACATGGATCTGTAACTCTGGGTCGACCTGACCTTTTTCGATCCAACGTAGAATTCGTGAGCTGAAAACAGGTTATGAGTCTGTGGATAGTCGAGATGTGAAGAACAAAATGATTGGCAACCACACTTGACCTTTCTCCACCCTTCAAACGGCCTATTGCTATTTCATGTTGTATAGCCCTTAAACGTGGCACTGTCGTAACGAAAGGAGGCGAAACGATCGAACTGATTTTTTACCACAGCTTTTATAGCCGAGCTCAGGAGTATACTTTTCATCATTTTTTCACTCATTTTGACAGTGTTTCGAAGGCACCACATAACTTTTTCAAAGTTTCAATAAAGGGGCAATAACTTTAGTTGCCGATGACAAACAAGACGGGTGACTTTTGATTTCCAAAGAGGATATGACATACAATCGGTGGTTTACACTTTAATCTTCTACCATTGATGGTCATTTGGTTATGGCCAAAATAGTTTTAAGCGTTACTATTGCTCTCTAGTAAATATAATGTGATATAATTATAATATAATATATATACGATACAATGATTTAAGACGTACATATAAACCTGTTTAGAGCTGATTAACCTCACAATAGTAAACACCAGTTTGCAGTAATAAAATTATAAGTGTAGCTTTGTGGGATTGCAAACACAATAATTTTGTTCTTTTCCAGACATGACGCAAGAGGTAGATCCCGAACCAGATCACTGATCGTTTGATTTAGTTTTTGTAGAAAAAAAGTACACAAGCACATTGGCCCGAAATGGTCATTTAGTGAAGGGAATAGAGACGACAGAAAAGAAAGCATGATGTCCAAGAGCCCTTGCACTTATGCGGGCTACTTAGGATCTTTGTAAGGTTTCGTGATCCTTGAACTGTTGGGAACAGAGTGATCGACGCATAGTTAAGGAAAGTTTTGATGTTTGTATCAAAAGGCTGAACAGATTTATCTTCAACACTTGGAGGTAACCGAAACAAATAACAAGACACTTACACTGTTCTCTGCTTTCTTGTCACAGACCGGCATGTTTAAACAGAATTGTAGTTTCGGCAAGATCTCGGTAAAATGGTAGTATGTCTTATAATTTTAGACTTTCACTTAAAAAATTCATTTGATCAAAAGTGGGACTTAAGCCCGACATGCCCCTATTTTTGGACTAGTTTGAATGACTTTTTGTTCCTCCATCTTAATTTGGTCCTAACGTTTTTATTTATCAATCTTATCTTGCAGTTGCAGTCTTAGAATTCACAAGGCGTCATATTTGTATAATGCTTTTTTCAAAACAGTTGTTTGTCTGTGAAATCGAAAGAATAATTATGAATTTAAAATAACATGATCTTGGATTTTAGTTCAATCTCAATGATTTCACAAACTATTAAACTCTTAAACAATCATAACCCGGATTTTGATAATTTTCTCTGCGTTGTCATAGTTTTGCTGTGCAAATTCAAGTTAGTGTTGGGAAAATTAATTTCTAGCATTATCACCGTATGTTTGTGGTACCTACCTAAAAATCGGGAGGGGAAGGGGGAGAAGAGATGAGCCATCGAAATGTCTTATTCTTAGGTCTAGAAGAAAAGAAGGAAAGAAAGAATATAGACAAATAAAAAGACCTCGTGTAATTATTTTCTATTTTTACAGTTGTGAAGATAATACCAAACAATTTTTAGTTTTAGATTTTTTGAGTGGAAAAATACGTTTGCGGAGATGCAAATCTGACCAGTGTCTGGGATCAATATTGGTTAGTTATTTTCGTAAGAGCCCAATTCTCCTTCCAAAAAATTAATATCTTCCAGGAATTCATAGCTAAAAATGTAAAGCATTGATGTTCATAATGCTCTAGTTGTCTTGACTATTGCACCTAGAGACTGGGTGTTATGGATTAATCCGATGCTGGTCTCCCATACTACATTTAGTTTATAGAGGTACATGACTTTCCCTTCAGAGATATGAAAATATGCAGCGTAGTTCTCTGGGTTTGTGACAAGCCTCCCCTCCCCATCCCCCTCTCCTCCCTTTTAAAGTGGTGTCGGTAGCCCAGTGGTTAGGCCACCAGGCCCGTAATCGTGTAATTGCGGGCTCGGGGATTCGAACCTCAGATCGATCAGACGTTGTGGCCTTGGGAAAGACACTTTACACTAATTTCCGAGTTGGCTCAGATTTCACATTTCATCCATTTTAAAGACGATGATTAATCACTGGGGCCTTTGCCTATTTCACTCTCTCTGTCTCTCTCTGTCTGTCTGTCTGTCTGTCTGTCTGTCTGTCTGTCTGTCTGTCTGTCTCTCTGTCTCTCTCTCTCTCTCTCTCTCTCTCTCTCTCTCTCTCTCTCTCTTTCTCTCTCTCTCTCAGACAGACAGACAGATAGATAGACAGACAGACAGACAGACAGACAGACAGACAGACAGACAGACAGACAGACAGACAGACAGACAGACAGACAGACAGACATACAGACAGACAGACAGACAGACAGACAGACAGACAGACAGACAGACAGATTAGTATTTTGCTCAAAGCAATGCAATGAATACATAACCGACATATTATGTGGAAGCTGTAAAGTCTAGAAAAAGCACACACCTTATGAATATGATTTGGCCAGTAGAGTTCAAAGGAGTGATCAAATCGTTGTGGAACCAAGTCCCCAGCAAGCTACAAAAATATCTCCCAATTTTATTTGCCTGAGCATGGTGTCATGGCGGCGTGTCAAATAAACTGACATCAGATCGCTGTTTAGTGACACCTGATCTAACTGGATAGCACGGGTTTTAATAAAAACCCAAAGTCAATGTTTCTTGAAGCTGGTTCTGGCAACCAGCCACTGGTTGTCATTATAAACTTTGTGGAAGCACAAATACACAGTGAGGTTGATTTTTAGGTAGTTGTAGCAAAATTTGTTGTTTTACTAAATTTTGGTAGACATATAAAAGACACAATATTTTTCAAACACCGGAATCGAATTCGTTTATATTAATAAATTTGACGATCCATTGGTTCCACTTTATTTGCACAAAGGTTTCTTGAAATCAGTAGACAGATGATCAAGTTATTTCTCTATAAATGGGCTGCCTTTTAGAAACCCTGTATTTCTCAGGATCTCGTTAAAATGGAAGAAATCGATATTTTTTCCCGCCACTTGGGCGATTCTGATTTATATTTTTAGGGATTTTATGTCCCTCTAAAAATGCATCTGTTTTTTATTTTTACCGACAAACGTCGATCTAAGGCACAACACAAATTTTAATTTGAAGTTTCCAAGACATTAACATTTTGAAATTTCCCACACTTTGGCGATCATTTTCTTGCTGACATCAAGCGGCATTCTCCTCCAAATTATGTTTTTTAGGCGCTCACAACTGCATAGGGCCATAAGAACGAGCGGGACATATTAGTATTTTCAGTTCGGTAAGAATTAATTTTTGAATTTTGCCCGAGTGGCGGCCAAAACTAACTCATATAAATTTTAGGAACACCAAGGGATCTTTAGCGTGCGCAACTTGCACACAGGACCTCCAAGATTTTTTGCCCTTATTCGAGAAGGCTATGGGTTGGATTTTACGAACACTAAGACCAGGGGTGTGGCTGAAAGACAGCTGTAAGAAAGAGCCAACAAGTAACGGTAGGAAGGCTGGAGAAATATTCGGAACCCCAGAGGACGGAGTAAAGGGGAAGGGGGGGGGGAGATGCAGAAAATAGAAACGAAAGCAGACAACAGAACATGGTTAGACAGCTGGAAAGCAGGTGAAAGGAGATAATTTAGAAACGAAAATTTTCCGAAGCTGCCAGGTTTTGAACCCAAGTCCTTGAATGACAGGCCAACACTGTACCTCAAGACCACGAGAGCCCCCCAGTGTCCTTATTTTCTATAAAAACAAAAATATACATCGGGCCCATTTTCACTAATACACTACAGTGGTCGTCTTCTATAATTATATCATGATTCTTTTGAACAGTAGGCCTGGAAAGCATCATAATATACTGATCTCGTCAAGGACATTTTGTTTTCAATTTTTCAAAACATTGAAGTATTTGCTACTGTGTTAGATTGAACTGTGGCTGACTACAGGGTGTTCATGTACTCGACAGTGTGACAGACAGCAGTTTCTGACTTGGTCGTATCGGGACCTGAGAATAGAAGGTGTCGACGCATTTTGAAATTTAATATTCATTTAACACGATGCTATGTAAACGTAAAACCACCCAAGGCGTGAGTAAGGCCTGCTATTTTCGGCAGTTGTAGTTGTAGATTCACTTAGTTGTTATAAACAAGACAGCAACATAAACTTCAATAACGTGTCTTCAAATGTATTGCAACATTGTTAAATTTAGAAAAGACAAAAACAGCAGTTCCATAGAAATGAGTTTGATAGTGATAGAGAAGAAAAGGAAAAATCATAAAACAGCCATGATAAGAACGCTGAGTAAGCAAAGAAATAAAAAATAAGAAGACACAGTACAACTAAAGGAACCTTACGGTGTATTGTGTTTGACGAGGAAAAAACCCAAACAAAAACAAAACACATCAAGCAAAAGGAAACGACGAAAAGCGCTCATTTAAACAATTATACTCATCAAATGCGTTTTTTTCAGTCAACAAGTGCTTTATTAGTAATTGAAACAAACAAAAGTGGTCATATCATACGGGCAACAAAACAGAGCCGGATTTTTTAGTGACAGCAAAGTTTTAAAGTCTTCTTGGAGTATTTTTTGTCTTAATTTTTTGCTAAAGTATAAAGCTTTTCAAGTAGCTGTCAAATAATTATCAAAAGATCAACACAAGAGTGTCCATTGTATTCCTGATCTCTTTGACCAGTTTCATTCAAGTCATCTTTTTCATTGGACCAACTTATGTTTGGAGCTGAAAACAAAAAAGCCTTACCACAAAACAGCTATCAGCTTGTTGAGTTTCTAAATTACATTCGCAGAGAAGGCTTGCTGACATGTTAAGTTAATGAAGACAGAAGACAAAACTGTCACAGAAAGAGGTACTGTTGCGCATTTTGAAGATCGTGCACTACTTTGCAATGCAAGCATTCGGTATGTACTTACTTTGTAAAAAGAAATGAGCTTTTGTACTAAGGACAACGTTGCAGCCGTTCCTGCCACCCTCAACACTGATACTGAACCAGGTCACTCTGTTTTCTTAATGACCTGTGCTTTGTCCGAAGAATAGGATGTCGGTTTTTTTACTTCAACCTTTAGTATTCTTGTTTTCAAATAATAAAGTGAAATATTGTGTTATTCATGACGGAGGACACATATTAGTTTAATAGCCTTTTAAAATTATAGCAATGTCTTCAAACCTTCACGATATTGTCATATTAACAAATTATCAAAAAGAATAGTCACGAACACTTTTACTAAACAACAATCAATATAGCTTTTTTAAAAAGATGTGTTCGGTTTTCATGAATGCTCCTCGGAATTATTACTTTCGATCGACTGGCATTAAATTAGCGACGTAGTCGATAGCATGCTAATAGAGGCACCTATAGAATTAATTATCGGCCAATTTCGTTTACCATAACGTGGTGACGACGTCACTGTAGTAATTCTAGACTTGCGTGATGTTACGCTACCAAATAATACGCTAAAGGCAGGCGATGAAGGCAATGCTTACATCTCCTCCTAGCTATTTTGTTGAAATGAGCATTCCCAAAAGAGCACAGCAAAAAATCAGTGCTCAGTTAAAGGTCAAAGAGGTGTTAGTTATGGTATTGGAAACTCTCGATCTCGGAGAACATTGTTGTAAAGCAGCTTTGACAAAAAAAAAAACACATTTTAACCTATTCACAGGTATTGAATAATGAAAAAGTTTGCCCACTGAGACTTAGGTTTCTGATATATTTTCATTGTTGCTTTTAATAATTAGTACTAATTTTGCAAGGAAAAAGAAGGTCTAGTAATATTCTGTGTGCAGAAATTCATACTGCTTAGCCACTACCTCACCCAAACCCCAACTATTTTCTGCCTTATGAAATGAAAAAGCAAAGAATGGTTCAATAAAACACTCTTTTAAAAAGAAATAACTAATATGTTCGAACCAATTAATGTTAGCTGTGAACATTGTTTAATAAAAGGATTTTCCCCCAAAGAAATATAGCTACAGTTTCAGAGAAAACTTTCTTTGTCTCCCCCACTAAAAGCAGCATAGAGCAGACTTACAACAGAGCGACAATATTGATAATTTTGTCTTCCTTAGTTCCTACCATGGTGCAGTAAATAAACGTCAGAACTTAAGTTTTAATTCATCAGCCGATAAACTTTTGAAACAATACGGAGATTGAGTATATTCTTTACTTCACAACACAATACAAATGGACATATTTTTGTGCCTGTCGTACTTCTGCTCAAATAAGTAAGTAAATCGACATTAATCTTTATCTTTCTTTTTATCTAACTTAGCTTTGAGTGTCTTTTGTCAACTTGTTGAAGTTATGCAGCTTGAAACATGCTTGAAAGATTCCTTGACCTAAAGGACGCTAGGAAATGCTCCTGCTTCGATGTCTGTCGAGGACTTTAGGACCAGCCGTTGTTCATCATCGCTGGGGAGAGAGAGCATTATAAACGTAAATGGCTAGATCGTGCTGTACAGTACCTTCCCCGTTATAAAGATGCAAAATAAATCAAAACGTGAGGCGTATGTTACGTAATATGTAATATTAGATACGTCAACATCGAAACGATTAGATCTTTTAGGAGGAAGGCGGCCCCAGCCCTGCCTGTCTGTCCTAAAGCCAGATGGAAATACTTAGAAAAATATTTTTTTTAAACACTCCCTCCATGGGCATTGAACTCGCGCCTTCTGCGTGCGACGGTAAATAGCCTAACCGCAATAATGCTGCTGCATGGATCATGTCATTTTGTGCGGGAACAAAGTAATTTTATTTAACACAAAATCAACATTTAATTTGTATAAGATGTACAAGTGAACACGTACATTCCTTATGGGAAACTCAAAGTCATCGAACTAGAGGAGATGCGGTATAATAATGCTCTACTCTTCATTCCACCCAAATCTGTGGTTAAATGGGGAGGGGGATAGCGTGCAAATTTCTTCCAAGTACAAGCAAACAGCACCGGAAAATTGCGCAACGCGTTGAGTTGAAATTGTACCCTATGGCCCTACAAGCTTACCAAGGCGTAGAGGTGTGTCAGTATATTGCGTCTGGAAATGCAGATATTTGAAATTGGATACTGAGTGCTGCGTATACGCCCCACCCCTTTTTTCAATCCACTTCTTTTCCCCGTGTTTACCAACCTTTCCTCTTGTTGCTTAAAGTACATACTAAACTTTTAACAAGGTGTAAGGTGCCTTTAGCGTCTGTAAAATGAATAATTTGGTATTTCTAAGTATGGCATATGATGTGGAGCACTTTCGGGTGGAGAAGTCTTAAGACAATTATCTCGAAGTATGTTTCAAAACAGTAAAACCACTATTATGAGTAAAACACGTCGGTGTTAATAAAATGCTTGTTTATTGTCGTTTATCTTTTGGAGCTCAATACTACCTCATAATATCTTTTTCGACCAGTTTCAAAAATACAATTAACCCCCCCCCCACCCCCCTCCTCCTCATAGAACGTAATGTATTGCAGCATGTCATACACGAGTCCCTTAAATTTACATGTTCTGACTGTGCCAATTGACAATAGCTAATATGAGCAAGGCGATCTTGTAAAACATATTACTGTGAAGAACAATTGCTAATGATACAACATTCTGCGTCCCTGCCCGACGAAGCTTTAAATTAACTCATGACTTTGAATGATACCTTATCAGTCGGCATAGTTAACTCTCATGACGTATATTGTTAAAACATTCCTAATGAGCAAACATTCAAAACAGGTTTTAAAAAACAACAAACAGAAAAACAAACAACAAACAAGTAGATCTAGTAGTGTTTGGAACGCCATATTTCTACGTGTAATTAGACCAGCAAGCTGGGATACGATAAATAGGTTTATAATATAAGAAGACATGACTCTAGTTAGCCTGTAGCTTTTAGAAGCTTGTATTTCCAAGGACAACCAAAACAATAGATATAAGTAAAACCATTAAGGTTACAGTCCTTAAATTCCAGGAAGAATTTCTAAACGTGGGTTTTTTCTGGTTTCTTGCTGTTTTGGTCGCTCCCTGAATTAGTAGCTTCTACACAGTAATGAAACAGCTCTGAGACGCGAGCAGAGTGCCAAAAGCTTGCCATTTTCAATAACAGATTTTGTGTTTACTTTCAGAAACAGCCGTTTTCTAAAGATTACTTTTTCCTGTTGCTCTTACCTTTCTTTTCTTTCTGGAAAGATTCCAGTCTGTTGACATTCAAACCTGAGAAGATGATACAAAAACAGTGTGATTTGCTTTTGGGGTCTGGGAATGGTGAGATACATTCAATGCTAGGTGGGCAGACACTACTTTCGTGATCTTGCCCCTTGTATTTTAATTTCAAGATTACTTTTTTAAATTTACGCTATGTTTACGATGTGCTGCTAATAGAATTTACAATTATGTTATTAATTCATTGTGGTTGCCGTAACTGGCTTGCCCAAATTTGCCCTCAGGTGCATTCCTAACTCTTACAATGGCTGATTTCATATCGTTGCCACGAAACGAAGTTAATATATTAATAAAATTGACGGTGCTGGTTATCCAGTATTTTCACCCTGTTCTGTTCCTTCATTTAGAGGGATAAAAGAGAATATGAAAAAACGAATCATTTATTCCAATCAAGCCTTACTCCAAGTCCAAGGAGACAAATGAATACTAAAAACAGTATGAATTGACCGCGAGCAATTAGAGGATATAAAACATGCAACACATTTTATAATCAGCTCTCTGTTGTCAGTAATTACGAAATACAAGTCATTAACACACAGGTGATACACTCAAGCAAACACAATAATAAGCCACTACAAAGTGTAAGCTTCTCACCGTACGAACGTGAATCATCTTCCAATTCGCGTGCTTTTTCCCTGAGCTGGAGAAGGGAGAGCCAGCAAATACTGCACTTATCTCGGCTGCCGGTGTTTTCTGATCGCCGAAACAAGGATAACCGGTTTCTTACAGCTGAGGAAAATATAACAAATATTTTTCATAACCTACGTGAACAGTCACTAATACTTACTAACAGATTTGGCAACATTATTAATTCAAACAAAGAGAAGACAGGAAAGCATCAATCCTACCCCCCTCTTCCCGACACACACTTTTTTCCAATTCTGTCCCACTTCTAGAAAGGCTGATAAACCCAACAATCTAATCACCAAGATTGATTTTTTTTGGTCCTTTATTGGTGAGAAAGTGAATTCAAGTTTGTGTGGCTATGTCGTGATGCTGTTTTCTCTCCGCTCCTCCCCCCCCCCCCCCAAAAAAAAATTATTAAAAAAAAAAAATCCTCCTTCCTTATCGTCATTCTCTTTTCCTCTGTCTTTCAATCTGTCTCTGTCTGTCTCTCTGTCTGTCTTTCTTTCTGTCTGTCTCTCTCTCCCTTTCTATTTCTCTCGCTTTCTCCCCCCCCCTCTCTCTCTCTCTCTCTCTCTCTCTCTCTATCTATCTATCTATCTATTTATCTATCTATCTATCTATCTATCTATCTATCTATCTATCTATCTATCTATCTATCAAACTATCTATCTATCTATCTATCTATCTACATGTCTCTCTCTCCGTCTCTCTGTCTCTCTGTCTCTCTCTTTCTTTCTCTTCCACTGCCCTCTCTCTCTCCTTGCCTATTTCTTCGTCTTGTTCACATGTTCCCCTGTGTTCATGATCTCGACCACAGCCACAATGCAGCTCAAAGTCTCATTCTCCTTTGCTGTCTCCACCACTCTCTAGTAAGAAAACCATTCTTGTAAACAGAAAGGACTTACCTATTCCAAAGACAGAGTTCAAATAACAAGGGTTTACGGACATTGTTTTACCCTTTAGGTAGAATAAAGACTAAGCTGTAAAACTTTCACTGCCCCCCCCCTCCCCCCCAGAATGCTTATGTACAGACACTTTCTGCACATACTTTAAAAGGTGATACATACCTGAATATGTAGGCTTGGATAAAGAACTCTCTTGTGACAAAGCTCTGATAATGCTTCCGAGATCACCCCAACACATCCTGCAGTCTCTTTCGAATGCTGCTGGAAGTAAAGAAACAGGAGAAAAATATATCGTTACAGGGTATGATAGGGACATATTTTTAAAGTCGAAGAGCCAATATTGTTCCCCTAAGAGGAGGCCGATGACTTCATAGGAACTCTCTTTGATGGCTTGTTCATTTCTGTTTGCTGTTTCAGATCCCCTCTCGTATGACAATGCGATATGTAACGACAAATGATTCGTGTTTTGAGTATTTACCCCACTTGACTCAAGATGATCATTTGCAACTGGAGCACGCACTTGTTCTAAAATATAAAACAGAGGAGCAAATGTGGAGAAAAAAAGAAAGAAAGCAGAGACGGGTTGGGGGAAGTTGAGGATGCAAAGACAGCAAACTAACTTAAAAATCAAGTAAATTTATCCCCACAAAGTAATCCCTTGTTTGTTTCAGTGTTGGTCCTATTCCCTAACTGACCGCTGTGTACGCAATGTTTTCTTTGGAGGATAGTGTTTGTCCTTGTTGTTCTGCAACGAACGTGCATAACTACTACTGTACTCTGGCAATTGAAAGAATATAAAATCGTATGTGAAAGCATCAACAAAGAAGTCTGTGCAGAAGGAACAAGGTTTTTTATTGAAGCAAAAATCGTGAAAACTGCAGGTTCCTAGAAACCTAGAAGACCTCCTTCGTGTCTCGAGGACGAAACTCTGGATTATATGGATGCGACTTTTATCCTTATCGAGAAAATGTGTGACGCAGACATATGTACACCAAGCAAAAAACTAATATGATGTAAAAACATCATTTAATGGTTCGTCTAGCTCAATAAAGCTGCAAATGTAAAAATCTCGGCTTTTATTTGCATAATGAGCGCGCATCATCTCAAACACTAACATTCAGTCGGATTTGATCGTGTTCATTTAAAATAACCGGACTCGTCCTTTCTGGTTTTGGACTGTCATGTTTACTCGACACTAAAGCCAACTTTACCTTGTTGTCTTCAGAAATGATATACAGATATATAGTGAACTGGTGTTAAACTCCTCCAAAAACATCAAAAAATTAGAATCCAAAGAGTTTTCAGTTGCAAACCATCTTGATCAAATACATCTGATTACTATTTTAAAGAAAAGAACAAAGCAAAATTCTGTTATATTGTCTCTGCTGGGAATTTATTTAAAATCAATTTCTTTGGAAAGAGGAAAGGCCGCCAAAGTTCACAGCTCCTACGCAGTAATGAAACAGCTCTGAGACGCGAGCAGAGTGCCAAAAATTCCATTAAAGCTAACACAATTACCCAGGGTGTGCTAATGGCCCTTGCTGTCCTCCCCCCTGTGTTCATTTCAATAATTGACCACCGTCCAGTACAGTCTAAAGTTGTCTGGGGACACATAGGCGCGAAGAGGTAGGGCTCGCCACTCGCCCACACGACGGAACAGTAAAAACTTACACAAGGCCCAGCCATTTTCACCCCTCAACATTAGTCCATTAGAGCTTCTTCGAAATGAGATTTACCAGATACAGGAGGTCTACAGCATTTGTTTGAGCTCTTAACAATCGGTTAGCTCACGAGGCGTCCTCATAGCTTGTACACAAAACCAGACTTGCCCTTACGCCGTTTTTGAGGAGCCTAAAAAAGAAATCTTTAAACATTTTTAGGCGGTGTTCCCTATTTCTCCACTCCCAGTACGCATGTTTATGTATTCTTTCTTCATCTTTTTTTTGTACAACACGGTCCAGTCTTCAATTTCATTTCGTGATCTATACACAGACGGAGAAATAGATAGATAGATAGATAGGTAGATATATATATAAATATATATATATATATATATATATATATATATATATATATATATATATATATATATAGAGAGAGAGAGAGAGAGAGAGAGAGAGAGAGAGAGAGAGAGAGAGAGAGAAAGAGACAGGGAACGAATGAGAGGAGAGAGACCGGGACAAACAGAAAGACAGGCAAAGAGATAACTAGTTAGAGAGAAAGAGAGGAGGGGGGGGGGGGGAGAGTGAATGTAAATGGTGGTTGACCCACTAAAGTGGGTACAAATCATCTTAACTGAAAAACAAACTTGTTTACTGAGCTTGTAATTAAGGTCTTTTTACGAACTGAGTCGTAATCCAAGATCTGGTGTGACCATTGGGAATGAGTTAGTCTACTAAATGGATTAGTCGTTTGAGCCATCCGTTGTGGACTATTGAGGACAAAAATATGCATATAAACCAATACAGATAATTTCTGTTGATTTTCTGAATGAACTGGACTGATGCCACGGGGACGACACATCCACAAAGAAAGAGCACCTAGGATTCTTGATTCGGTGCTATGGTAATAACAAATGCGTCGCAGTGACTGTAACAACTGATATGAATCCACTAGCGAAAGCTGTATGGCCTACTTCTTTGCTAACGAATGGTCGCACCTGTGGAGGGTCTTGTGCACCTGCTCAGTAATCCCCAGAAAGAAAATAATACTATTATAAGAGGCATCGAGGTGAAATCAGGTGCTTTTCAAAATAACGAAATCGGAGAAACTGACATTTTTTTCTGCCAAAAATGGCAATTTTCATAGACATTTTTAAAATGTCTTTTTTTAAAAATGTCTTTACGGTGCTCGCAACTGCATAAGGTCATAATAAAATATGAGCGAGCAGGACACATTTAACGTTTTTTCAGTTGGTAGGAAATTTTGAATTTTACCCTGGTGGCGGCCGAAGCCTACTCTTCACGATTTTAAGATCTTCAACGTGCGTAACTTACACACGGCACCTGCGGGATTTTTCGCCTTGATCCGAAAAGACCAGGTTTTAGTTCTTGCCTACCAGAAGATCAGGGGTGTTTATGAAAGACAGCAGTGAGAAGGAGCCAATGAGTAGCAATAGAGAGAGAGTCCGGAGCAGAGAAGAGGGGGCAAAGGGGAGGGGGCAAAATGTGGAGACGGAAGCAGACTATAGAACATGGTTGATAATAATATAGCTGGAATTGAAATGAAAGGAGAATATTTTTCAGAACAAAATTATCCGTCGCTGTCCGGATTCGAACCTATTGAATGAGAGGCAAACACCATAACCTCTAGACCACGAGAGCTTCCCTTATATTTTTTAATTCAATTTTTTGTTTGTTTTTGCAAGTGTCTTTATGGCGCTCGCAACTGCATAAGGTCATATTAAGCGTGCGGGACACATTATACTTTTCCAGTTGGTAGCAAATTTTGAATTTTGCCGGGGTGGCGGCCGGTGCCTACTCTTATCGATTCTAGACCACCAGGGGGTCTTTAACGTGCGCAACGTGCACACGGCCTTCCGAGATTTTTCGCCCTTGTCCGAGAAGGCTATGTGTAGATCTTTCCTACCAGAAGATCAGGGGTGTGGCTTTTTATTCGATGTATATATAAATATATATATATAATATATTATATATATATATATATATATATATATATATATATATATATATATATATATATATATATATATATATATATATATTATATGGGGGCTCTCGTGGCCTAGAGGTTAAGGTGTTGGCCTCTCATTCAAAGGATCTCCAAAATTGTTTCCTTATAAAATTGTGTAGGCTGGTGTTGTTCGGTAGACAGAGGAAAAGATAGGAAGACAAAACCACCGAGTAGACAGGCCCTGACTGGAACATTTGACTACGGAAACCTGAGAGACAGGAAAAGTGGAAGAAGCTGGTTGCAAAATTTACTATGGAATCTCAGCTGTCAGCCAGAAATTGGGGTAAGTGATGGTAAAGGTGAAAGATTTATTTTAGTCAACTGTCGAGGAATGTTTCTTCAAATCATGACTACAGAAGTTCATCAACAAATTGAGAGACCTTTTCTCTTTTAGGAAAAACAATATTTATAGAATAGGCGCTCTTACTCTCAAAGAAGTGAAAAATTCGAGCCCCCTGAAACAGAATTTCTGCTTTTCCTTTTAAACCATAATACTCTTGTCAATGTGGACATTCCCATCGGTATGCCATTATACTATCCCTTGACTAGATTCTTTTTTCCTTATGCAACAAACTGTTGGTTTGGCACTTCTAAAGTTGAATATCATTTGAAGACATCGAAAACTAAACACTAGGTATCTACAGATGGAATACGTAACAGAAACAACAAAGTACATAAAAGCCATGTGTATTCTGGTAATGATTATGTTTAAAACAAGTTTTAATTTCTTTTTCCATCGGATATCAAAAATTGAAAATACTTTTGGGATAGCTTTTGGATTTAGTTAACAAATAAAGTCATGAGTTATATTAAGTGTCACTTGGAAATTAAAGTATCATCTCTTTTCAGTCGAAATACTGATTATTTTTTTTTTAACATACAAAGGATATTCATTGCCCCGTATCTCTGAGATAGAATTCGACCTATTTTTTTCCCACGAAGCCAGCTCTCGAGCACAGTTCTACTTTGCCTAGTTCATAAAATGATAAAAGAAAATTTTGACCAACAATTTTTACAAAGTTAAAAAATGTCTTTTTCGAATGGAGGGTCCTAGTGTACGTTTACCCAGAAAAATTCTCCCATTACTACCAATGTGCATTTTGGAAGCTTTCATTTGACAATCACACATCCTCTATCAATGTTTATTTCACGTTTGTTGACTGATACGTACATCTTTTGTTTAGGGGAGATACCTTGTCATCTCATGAAACCTTAATTTTTGTCTTTTGGCGAGAAAGTAGCGTGCGGACGCGTTGTCTTTGGGCGGGGTATCATATACATTCTTTTTAAAGAGCAAAGAAATGCAAACCTTACATCAACATTTGAACGGTCACAAAAGTTCCCGAAAATTCGAGAACTGATTGAGCATGCTCATTAAAGTATACACCATTGTATTGGGAAATTTTAATGGGTAAAAAGTATACTCCCCCACCTACCCCTATATCATAATGTCTTCTCGCGCCATGACGATCACAGCCGGTTGTTTCTTGTTTCACGCAGCTCCACTGTAACCACCGCTGCAACCCCACAGTGACCAATTTTTATGAAGCAGGGCCAAAAACTGC